ATATTTGTAAAAATAATTATTATAATAAAATGTTATATATATAAAATTAAAGTATCGCCTTATTAATTGATTAGACTTAATATTATTTTTAGTGTAATTTTTATTTGCTAAGTATGTTTATTGTGACGTAACTATTTTTTGATCATTAATTACTCAAAATTAATTTACTAGTCCCGTAACCCATTTTTAATAGATCAGCTCTCATAAATTCATTTAAGTGCTTTGCTTTAGCACCTTCACCTTGATTACACCCTCAAGATAAAAATATCATAAATTACTGATGCCATTTAGCATCTTAATTTCTGATATATGAGTTAAGACAGATAGGTTAGCAATTATCTCATTTTTTGCATGGATGAAACTGGACTGATTTCTTCTAGAATTAATACATTCTCTTTATAATGCATATGATAGACCAATTTGTAAAAGAATATATTATATGCTTCAATACATTTTACAAGTTTGCTAGAATATCAAGCAAAATCAGAGTATATTTTTTCCTTTATTTTATCATCTACTGAGAGGTTTTTATCTTTTAAAATTTTCCTAGCATATTTCATAAATTTCTCCCATAATATTTTGATAGGATTACTTGCCATGAATATCTTGTAACTAAGCTATTCATCATGAAATATTTTTTATAAGCTACCTATCTTTTGATATAATATTTCTTGTGCTTTTTTGATCACATTTTTGTAAGAATATTTATAAGCAATCTCACATCATCTTGAAAGTAACATCATTCACTATAATATTCTCTTTTACAAAATCTTCAAGTCACGACTTAGTCTATTTTTGAGTATAATTATCAATCTACATATATTTTTCATCTGGATCTTTGATTTGCATGATTCTGCTTATAGGAATGGATTCCTATTTCTTGTCGTACATAATAAATCAGACATAGTAACCAATAATAGTTTTTTTGTAATAATGATATAAATCTAACTTTTTACTCAATTCCTTAATTACATTTACAAATTCCATTTTCTCGCCTTTAGTTGGGTTTAACTTTTACCATGCAAATCAAAAGTTATATCTGGATGAGTTATTACATAACTAAAGTAGGACCCTGAACTATACTAATAGAACTCTCAAATGTAATACGAACACGCAATTAAAATTATATTATATAGTATAACTCGGTCAATATTAACGCTAAAAAGATAATATTACTACCATTAGATTTCTCTCGATTAGACGAATCCAATGGTATATATTTCATTAAGATTAAATTACTGTTTATTGAGATAATAAGGTATGTAGGATAAGTAAATTTGTAAAAATAAGAACTTTTGGCAAAATTTACATATAAACTCTACGCAAACTCAAATGTGAGCTATATTAGTATAGTTCAGGATCCTACTAAAGTGCTCACCTAGTACTGAAATCTTAATATTACATTTTTCTCTCATTCATCCTATAAAATGCTAAACAGCTTTAAGATTCACTTATTTAGTATAATTCAATTTTTTGTTTACATCAGGTTTTCATATATCAGTTTCTATAAACTGCTTAAAATCTTATTGCTTGGGATTGGTTATGACATCTCTAAGAATATCTTTAACAATTTCATAAAGTGATCGGTCATTATTATTATGCATAGCTCTTTACATAATCCTATCCTCTATAGTTTTGAAAACTTAGGATTTATCCTATTTCATAGTATCGATTCCTCTTATAAAAAGCTCTTCTAGTTTGAAGTTTGAGATATTTTTATGGAGGGTATCAAAATATTTTTTTTTCAGTAAACACTATTGGAAATAGTACTTCTTCAAAAACCATTTTGAGATAATCTAATTTGGTTTTTAACCTAAGAACATTGTTTATTTCATTACACAATTTTTCCATTATTCCTATAATAATTTGGACTATTTCAATTCAGTACTTTAGTTTTGAGATTATATCTTTCTCAGCATCATAAGTTAGATTGCATTTTTCATAATAAGAATCTAGGCAAGTGAGATATAGAGAATTGGTATTACCATATTTTATTTTAAAACCTTTCTTTTTCACAAATTCTGCAACAAGTTTGATGTTTTCTCTTCTAGTTAAAGTAACACCCCTGGCAAGTTCAAGTTTGTAGAATGAGGAGTTACTTTGACCTATCATACCATAGAATGAATTTATATACAATATAATGGCTTTCTGCTTTGAATTTAGAGAATCATATGTAAAACAGACAGAACTGTATTCTTTCTTAAAATAATTCGATTTGATATTTAGATATTTGATTTAATTCGATCAAATTCAAATCAAAAAATGATTCATTTGATTAAATCCAAATTAATGTTTGATTCGATTCAATCAAATTTAAATCAAGTATTCAAATATTTGATTGATTTGAATCAATAATAAAGCCATCTTCAAAGCTTCAGAAGTAGTTCTTACTAAGAAAACTATAGTAAAAAGTGTCTCTGCAGCTTCAGAAATGCCTTTTTTTACTAAGAAACCCATAGTAAAAAACGTCTCCACAGCTTTGGAAATGCTTTTTTTACTAAGAAAAACATAGTAAAAAATGCCTTCACAGCTTCAGAGACGTTATTTTACTAAGAAAACATAGTGAAAAATGCCTCTACAGCTTTGAAGACGTTATTTTACTAAGAAAATATAGTAAAAATGCCTTCACAGCTTTGGAGACACTTTTACTAGGAAACCTAGTAAAAAAATGCGTCTGCAGGTTTTTTTACTAATAACATTATTACAAAGCTGAGATGGCGGTTATTACTAAATTTTCTTAGTAAACTGAAACTGCAATAGCAGTTATTACTAAGTTTTTTTAGTAAACTAAAACTGCAATGGTGATTATTACTAAGTTTTCTTAATAAAATCGAAACTGCAGAGTTATTTTATTAAGTTTAATAGTAAAAATTCACCTGTTACTAAACTTACTTTGTAAAAGCTATTTTTGA